GAACACCAGTGTAAAGAGGTCCTTCTCTGATTTATCACCAGTGTAAGGAGACCCTTTTCAACATTCTCAACCAGGGTTCAGCTGAACCCCAGGGTTGCTCCAGAGGTTGATAGGGGTTCCATGAGCTATGACAGATTGACCTCTTACCTGATGGTGTCTACATAATTCCGGCACCAATGACTTTTCGAAGACCCAGTGGGATGGGACCAGTTAAGCTTCTCAATTCTCAGGTAAGTTACCACTGACACCAATAATCAAGTGATATGCATATATACAGTCCAATGAGAGAGCCAAACAAGACTGAATGAGTCCAAAGATGTTTAATAATGGCATGGGTTCATAAATGACAGTAAAGAACAGCCTAGATCAAGTTAGCTGTCTGTAAGGGGAGCATTCTTTCCACTTGTGAACTGTAGATATAATCATCTGTAGAAAGGGTTCTCTGAAAACTATTTCAAGGGTTCCTCCAAAGGTAAAAAAAAAAAGGTTGTGAATGGTTGGTCAAAGCTTTAAGCCACATGTTCTGAGGACCTACAAGAAGGACAAGTGTGGAGGAAACAAGGACAGAGAGCTTCTGGTCCAATGGCCCTACACAAAACATCTTGTGAAATAAAAGCAGGAACTGGATGTGTTCCACGGCAACAGATTGTGAAATATATTAATATTCTCAATAGATAGGCAATGAGTAATTACATGGTACACAACATGACCCAGGAAGTCGGCACTGAACCACCGGCTACAAAGAGCAAACATTTAATAGTAATATTTGAGGTTTATATGTCTTAAACCAACACTTAGGCAATAGCTGCATTGTCCTAGTGTTTGAGAACAAAGGTTGTCTCGGGAATTACCAGAAGGAGCACTGAGGTGCATGCTGGGATATATATATCACAAACATTGATGCTGTTATGCTTCGTTGAGCCAATGTCTACAATACTGAAGAGTTTATAGAGACGATCGCTGCCAACTTTTTAACAAGAACTTTATTTATGATGTACTAATGACACAATAGGACTGATGTGCCCATAAATTATTCCCAACACTTGGAGGTAACTCTTTTATTCTATTGTTATATAATTGTTCAGATGATGTTTTGAGAATCGTATCTCAAGTAAAGATTTGTTGGTCCTCTCCCTCTTGGTTATGTGTATGTCAGATAGTGCACTCTGTATTCTTCCTGAGCAGATTAAAGGTCCCTGCAGTAGAAGAGCAGTGCTGCAGTCTCCATAAATCTTTGGGAGTGCATATGTCCCCCACTGCAGACTGTGGTTCCATCCTCTGAATCCTATGTCTCTACAGGACTTTGCAGGGGTGTAGAGAGCCATGAATGGAACCATAAGTTATATATAGGCGTCTTGCTGCACTCCGTACCGGTATAGGATGTTCCTTGAAATCCTAGTGGGTGCTCATAGTGACCTAGAATGGCGCAGTCAAGATATACAAGTTTGCAAAAGGATGTCATCAGTACACCATTTAAGTGAAATCAACAAAAGTCCATTTATCAATGAAGTACTCTCATACTGAAGTCCAGTACAAGCACACACTAGCGTCCTCCCGTCACCCAAAGCTCAGTATACCACGAGCTACAGCTCGCGGTATACTGAGACGACACAGCTGAAACCAATCCCGACAATTATGTTTGGATCCACCCAGCTGCTTGAGTGACAGCTGGCTCTGCCTATCTAGAGGCAGAGCCAGCTGTACCTGCCCCCTCCCCGTCCGTTCCGCCAGTCAACGCTGGGGCAGTCAGAGGGGGAATCCAGTCCCTCCCCTGTCACGGCTCTCTGCAGTGACAGGATTGAGAAGTGAGCGAGTGCTGGTATGTGTTCGCTCACCTCGCGATCTACTAAGCCGACCTGTGACAGTGTCATTGTCACAGGTTGGCTAGAACTATGAGAATGAGTGAAAATCACTTACCTCATAGTTCTCCTTTAACTTAAATGGTGTGCCGGTTACATCCTTTTGCAAGCATGAATGGAACCATGGCACGTGGCATGGTTCCATTCATGACTCCCTACATCTCGCATCTGACACCCCTAGAAATTTTGAGTGTGGAAGAGGATTACAGAGGCTGCAGCACTGGAACAGAGGGGATGTAGGAGACAAGGGCCCCCAGAAATTTAATCTGCATTTATTTAACCTTAAAAGGGTAATTTTAAAGGGAGCCATAGATCTAAAATGCTGGTTGGACGCACATTTATCATTTGAGAGATAGACATAGGAAGCGATGTATTAAAATGTAGATACATTTTACAGTCAAGATATAAAATGTACTGGAGACTATAAAGGCTCTGCTTGGCAACACATGGACATGAAGGGGCCTCTAGGGGGCGCTTTCTGCAAAATCAAAGAGGTGTGGAAAAACACAGGAGACCCAAATTAATAGTTGAGAAATGATGAAGACTTTAATTCAACACAAAATACCAAAAGGACAAGCTAATACATTCCAGGGGGCAACCTTCATCGGGGTTGTAAATGCAATTTCACAGGGCAAACGGCTCTGTGAATTGTTTATAAATACACCCCAAAGAGAGGAAGCAAGATGGAAGAGCGTTGGACAGCAGGTAAAAACCAACCATGGGACACACTAATTGCTTCCAGGTTAGCTCTAGCGTGACATTAGAAACAGGTGGAAATCTCTAGTCTCTATACTGTAATTGAAATACTCAACACCCATGCCCACTTTGAAATGCTTCATGCGAGGGCTCACTACAAATGGGAAAAATATACTATCCATTGGACATGCTGGATGACCCTACTTAAACCATTATATCCAGCTTGTCCCCCCTACTGGTTGTCTAGAACTGGCCTCTCCTATTTTACCCCTTCGTTAGATAATTTCCAAATTAAAGCCAACATGTGTTCTATAGACCGATACGGAATGGTACAGGTTTCTATCTCTCAGTGTACCACATTCGACTGTTTTTATTCTGAAGTTTAGTATACCTTCACGTGCTGCAATCTAAATTGACCTCTTCAGCCTTTTATCTCTCTCCCTTCCATTCCATAATGTGAACCCTCCCCCTATCCCCCAACATATAACTAAAATATTTGGACGCAATACATATCTCGGTCCATATCGTGGGTTAATCATGGAATTCTATGCCTTTCCCTTTCCTTTCCAATCTTTTTTATGACACACTCTTTCCATCTGTAGAGGTATAGGCTTGTCTATCGCTACTGCATAGCCTTATGGAGTTAAATGCTTTCAGATATCAGTTGATATCGCCCTAGGCAGAGCCGGATTTCCCACAAGGCCAACCAAGGCCCGGCCTTGGGGCAACAGGGTGTAGAGGGGCAGGGGGGTGTGGAATTCCTATCTCCCGACGCCCGACATGCATTGCCGGGCGGGTAGTTGTTTTCTACATTTAGGGCAAGCAGAGCTAAATGTACAGCGGGGAAGCCGCCGCTTGTTTTGTAGAAGTGATCCCGGCCGAGAGCACTTGTAACTTGTATGCAGCCTGCAGGTCTGCCATTCACCATGGGGGGAGGGTGGGGTGGCGGGTAGGAAGGCGCATTGAGGAACCTGGCCTTGGGGCAGCAGAGAGAGTAAGTCTGGCCCTGGTCCTAGGCATCGCCTATATCATTACTTTGTTGAAGTGTGTCCTATATTTTATTGTTTTGGACTCTGTATGCTATCTCTTTTATTCAATAAAGATCTATTGTTAAAAACAACAAAACAACAACCATGGGGCTATAATCCTTCCTCTCTCTCTGTCCAAATCTAAAAAACAAAATTGCCTGGACATACATTACATAGTGAAAACATCTTTTTTGGGGTTTTTGCTGGTTGCATGTTATGGCATTGAAAATGCACTCTTTCTTCCACTTCACTGTACTACAATCACTTCACTGCAATCCACTTTGCTTTGTAGTAATATACGCTCATTCTGTCCATACGGTTAAAGATATAGTTACTATAGCCAATGTCTTTGCCGGGTTTGGTCCTTTTCCAAAAATAGATAAAAATATCCTCTTTGACATTCGTCTTTGTATTTTAACTGTAAAGGCTTTGAGGTTTGGTAAAATCCATTGGTGATCCTTAAAGACTCGAAATGGAACATGTGAGTATCTAGAAAGGTGTTGCAAGTGAAGGGCAGGGAAGCGTCCTTGTGCCATGACACCCCCTCTCTCTCTCTCTCTCTCTCGTGCTTGATGGAGCCAACTTTTTCTCATTTTTAGACTGTAAAGACAGTTTTGTGATGGCAAATTGAAAGATCTTCTTGTGCTTGGCATGCATAAACCATCTCAGGTCTAAATACCGGCATAGAAATATTTGAGAGCAGAGGTAGGAAGAGAAAGCCAACTAAAAGCCCCAATCTTCTGTGTACAGTCAAATCCATCCATTACCATTGGGGTGGACATTTTTGCAACATGGAGGGGAAATAAAAACTACATTTTGCTGTGTAGTTAATCAGCATTCAAAACCAAGGACAAACATTTCAAGGGACATATTGAGTCAATATTTGGGTAATGACGTCAGCCAGGATCCCCCGTTCCTTTGTGTACATTCCGGTGTCGGCTGGGGAATTTTCCAGTTGGCAGCTGAATGGGGCTGGGGATGTATCATTGGTTTCTAAGACACTGTTGGCTGCATAACTGGGAACTACGAGTCAGTAGTTTCCTATCAGGTCTGATTCCCTTGTGATTGACAGCAGGCAGTGGGTGGATTTTGGAGAGCCAATAGAAACCATGCAATAGGTTTTGGGATTTGCTCATTGCCTGCTGTTAATCAGTAGCAGAGCAGACCTGATGGGGAACTAGTCCCATCAGGCTCAGCTCACAGAGGTAAGTATCACTGGTTGTTAAGGAAGCTGTTGGTGTATATGGACAGTCTAGCTTCAGTGTGTCTCTGCACCACAAATGCACTCAAAACACATGTACCTGTTTTCTGATCTGGGGAAAGCACCAACATTTGCCATGTGGATGGGCAATGGAATTCTAAAGGGTATCACAGACACTCTTTATGAATTCCAGGGATTATGTGGCTCTGTATGGTCCTAAGAAGAAACTTTGATCGCTTTAGTCTCTTTCTCACAAGGAGCGATACAAATTTTATAACAATATTTTCCAAAATGCAACTTTTTTAAAATGTCCACCAGCCCCTCCAAAAAGGCTTTCTTAAACGAAGCCGATGAGAAGTAGAATATCAGGGGATCCAATGAAGCGTTGAAGGTGCTTAAGAGCAGAGTGTAGTCTCTCCAGTATGGGCTGTGGCCCTGAAAAAAGCCCACAACATGAGATACATTATAGGGCATGAAACAAATGATGAAATTAACGAGCGTGACTGCCACTAGGCAGATGGCCCTCATTTTCCTCTTTTTCTCCAGACGAGCCTGAGACAAGATGATCTTGATGAAGTTGCCATAACAGAAGACTGTGATGAGAAACGGGACGAAGAAGAGAAGCACACTAATTTCAAACCTCACCGGGAGTAGAATTTTTAGCTGGGGTGGAGAAAATGTACTGTAACACATGGTATGATTTGTTTCCGTCATATTACTGGGCATGGCATGCTCCACGATGTAGACAATACTGCAGTGCACTGTTGCAATGATCCAGATGAAGATGCATGCCATGACTGAGTAGAGTGATCTCCGGAGAAGCTTGTATTTGATAGGAAAGGCGATAGCTAGATACCTCTCCACGCTGATGGCCATGAGAAAGAGAGAGGTGATGTAAATGCTGCTGAAGTACATAAACGCCGATAAAGAACAAAAAACATATGGCATATTCCAATTCATGTCAAATGCTGCTTCCATCATACGAAAGGGAAGAAACATCAAAAGAAGCAAATCAGAAACGGTCAGGTTGACTAGCAGGATGTCCACCGGTACGACACCAAGCCTAAATTTTTTAATGAGCGTACACAGGGCCGCTATGTTCAGGGGAAGCCCTGTTACAAATGTAAAGATGTAGACAAACAAGAAGAGGGGATTCCATCCTGGGAAATAGGGCATAATGGTTGACTTGGAACTTAACAAACTTGCTGAATTTGGTGAAGTCCCTCGTTGATTTGTTATTGTGTTTGAGGCCTCTTAAATATACTAAAAAAAAGGAAAAATAATCAGGTTATTGATAAGAGCTACAATTAGTTGGATCATTTTTTTTTGTGCTCTATTGTGAAAACTAAAACCTAAAATAAAACTGCCAATGCATAGTAGACCTTACTCACCTCTCCTGCCGCCTGCTTCGCCGATCTCCGCATTAGTGAAATGAAAACCCCCGCAGAAGAACCTTCAGAAACCAACGCTTGTAACATAATAGGATGAACCCAATAAACTCCGGTCTTTATTATTGTTACTTTGTATCTATGTAACCATGTATGTGACCATCACATCTATGTCTATACTGCCTTCAATTTAGATTTAGCATGACGAGCTCGGCGTAAACGTGGATGGTACAGTGATAAGACAGGTGTGGGTCATAAATGACCAGTACAAGATGATAAGTTAAAATCTTTATTAACAAGTGAAATGAGATACTGTGACAGCAGCTGGTTCATTTTGGATGACAAACCAAGCCAACAACTATGAGACTGGAATAGTTTGATTGTTCTTGTCAATTCTAATCAAGAGCTGTGAGTAGGGCTGTATTCAAAGTATATCTAAAGCCAACAACTTGGAAACAGTAGGGAATGGTTAGAATCCATGCCATTTTTGAGGGTGAACTGTTGGGGAGTCTCCCCTTTACTACCTGTCCTGTATACAGGCAGTGAGATGACATCTTTGAAAGTGAAGGAAATCACTTTTTTTCAGAAATAAGTGGTGGCTGAACGTTAATTGTGAGACATGATTGTGAGAGATTGATTGCTGAGGCTAAAGTGATTTCACGATAAAGGGCAGAAGAGACACTGCTCTGCTTTGGATGCAGGATAAACAATGGAGTCAAATGTGTAAAAATATGCATTAATTTCACATGGAAACGTTTGAAAAAGCGAGTAGATAAAACTAGGGTTTACAAAAGAAAATCTCTTTTATGACATTATGGCAAGCAAAAAAAAAAGAAGGAAAAAAAAATCCACCAAAATAATGCAACGAGTAATATATCAGCAAAAATGCAAAATGAAAATTAAAAATGAAGTAAAAAATACAACAAAATAAAATCCTAAGTAACAGCAAAAAGACAAAATAAAAAAAATGCTGTACAGACCTTTAAATAGTGTTGATGATATTGAAGTCACTCAGCCAACATCTTCTGCTAGAACTGTACTACACTACAGTCGTGCACTGAGCTTCTTCAGAGTTGGGAGTTGACACAAGCCTCTCCTTCAGCTAACCAGGAATAATTAGAGATAGTTTGAACAAAGATTTCCCCTACTAGTTTTATCTGTCCACTGTTTGCAGAAGGCTAAAGATTATATTTGAAGCTAATCGATATATGCAAAAAACATACATGCCTTCTGTGTACGTTCCTAAGGAAGCAGGCAGGCAGGTACCATGTCTCTGTGATGGCCATAAACCTTAACCACTAAAGCTTATTAAATAGCCTCATGAAATGGCTCGCTGTTGGCCTTCCTTCTAAATCCAAACTCAGAGGGCCTGACATGCCTTAAAGGAGAACTATGAGGTGAGTGCTTTTCACTCACCTCATAGTTCTAGCCGACCTGTGAGACTGTCCCAGGTCGGCTTAGTAGATCGGGAGGTGAGCGAACACATACCGGCTTTCCTCACCTCTTAATCCTGTCACGGCTCTCTGCCATGACATGGGAGGGGCTGGATTCCCCCCTCCCCGCTCCGATCTGCCAGCGCTGACTGGCGGAACGGACGGTGGTGGTCAGCTAATCCTAACAAGAAACCTTGATCGCCTTCGTTTCGCTCTCACAAGGAGCAATACAGATTTTGTGCCAATGCAACTTTTTAAAAACATCCCCAGCCCCTCCAAAAGCACTTTCATAACAGAAGCAGATGAGAAGTAAAATATGAAGGGATACACGATGCATTGAAAGTGCTTAAGAGCACAGTGTAGACTCTCCATTGTGGACTTTTGCCCTGGAAAACCTCCACAATGTGCAATATATTATAGGGCATGCGACATAGGATGAAATTAATAAAGGGTCACCACCACTAGACACATGGCCCTCATTTTCTTTTTTTTTCCTGCTGACAAGCCTGATACAGGATGATCTTGGTAAAGTTGACACAACAATAAACAGTGATCACAACCCAGATAGCAAGGATAACTTGCCACAAACCTGTGGCAGGGTTAAATTGTAATTCTTGTTAACTTGCTGCACACATTCCTGGCAAGTTGTAGACTTGCAGAACAAGTTCTAGTTGACACTTTTTGAATTTGTAGGCGAGTCTACAGCAAGGATCCTGCAGGTCTTAGCAAGAGCTCTGCAAGTGTACAGCACTTTTGCAAAGCACGCTGATCTGGAGACTTTTAATACAGACTTGCTGTAATTGTGCAACAAAATTGTGAAGCTTGGCAAGTCTAGCAATACTTTAGCAAGTCATTTTTAAACTTGCAGCTCAAGTGCTTGCTATCTGGGAAATGGTACGATCAGGAATAAAACTCTCAGTTGAGGAGCAGAGATAATGTATTCAGGCAGGCAAGTAGACAATAAAATAGCATAGGAGGTTCCTCACATGCAAGGGACAATCAATTGATTTGATCTTGTTCCACCCAATAATCAATCACTGTGCTACCATTAGTTTGCTGTCACAGCAATATGTCGGTGGATGGTGGTAGGATGGTGGTTCCAGCAGCAGTCTCAGAACTGTCTACACAAGGAAGTAAAAAAACACCCAGGAACTGGTGTTTATCCCCACACAACTACCTCCGCATGTACCACTGTCCCCTCCCTTTAGATTGCAAGCCTTCAGGGGCAGGGCCCTCCTTATCATCTTGTCTTGAATTGTATTGTAATTGTAATGTCTTCCTTATATTGTAAAGTGCAGCACAAACTGTTGGCGCTCTATAAATCCTGTATAATAATAATAACTGTGGGACAATCTCAGAAAAAGGTTACAGAAACTGTAATAAAACCTTGAAATGGTTTCTCACCCTTTCCCAGTCCCCAAACCCTTTTTTAGTCCTGGACTAAAAAAGTGTTTATGGTGATGAATTTTAATGATAGTACCATACAACTGGCCTTAGAGTCCAAAATAATAGTCTTTTAATTCATAGGCAGGATGATCTAAAATTAAATAGCCCAGCCGATGAGTTTCAGGGGTTACACATGGTTCCCTTCATCAAGGCTGCAATGAAAACATGGAATTTACAATATGTCCACAGATTGAATAATAGCATGCAATGCCAGGCGGCGGCAAACAAAGCGAGCAGAGTACTGTCATGTATTAAGAAGAGAATGTATTGTAGAGACAAAGTGATAATGTTGCCACTTTATAGATCGCTGGTTCAGCCTCATCTTGTGTATGCGGTTCAGTTTTGGTCACCAATCCACAGAAAAGATGTTCTGGAGCTGGAGTGAGTCCAGAGAAGAGAAACAAAACCAATTAAGTGGCTGGAGGACCATAGCTATGAGACAAGGTTGCTAAATTTAAACTTGTTCACGCTGGAAGTGAGGAGATTAAGAGGGGATGTAATTTTAATGTACAAAATGTTTAGTGGAGATGTCAATATCAGCAATAAACTTTCTAAATAAACTCCATAACAAAGACTAGAGGCCACCACCTAAAATTGGTGGAGAAAAGATTTAACCACAAAGGGTGTAGGGGCTTCTTTTCAGTCAGAGTGGTTGAATTTTGTAACTCTCTGTCACAAGCAGTGGTATCAGCAGAGAGTATTGAATCATTCAAAAATCAATTAGATACCTTCCTCAGAGACCGTAACATACAGGGGTACAGGTACTGTTAAAAAACTAAGACCACACAGGGACTCCTATACACACATGCACGCACTACACACACACACACAGACACACAAAGGTTGAACTTGATGGATCTGTGTCTTTATTCAACCTTAAATACTATGTAACTATATTCATATTATGGTAGATGAGAAGTGCCTAACCAGAGCATGTAAATTCTATTAACCAGATGCAGGCAATTATAGATATTGGACTATAATAATTCAAGATCCAGCATCTCATATCCAGACCTTTTGTAAAGAAGAAAACATTTTTGACTGGAGTTACACTTTAAAATGAATTAAAACGCTGATAACTCTGAGAACCATCTAAAAGCCTTGAAAGATGTGCTACGATTCTGCAACATCCGCCTTAGAGTTACAAAATGAGTCTGTAATCAGTGTGCGGTCCCCATGTGCCTAATACTGATTATTTATTAACAGACTTTGGCAAAACACACTTTGCATTATACAAATTTTATTTTAGACGAAGTCCACATGTAGAAGAACATAATAAGTGATTTGTGATCCAGCTCATTACTAATGATCCAAGATATCTTTGTTCTCATTGTCTGCTATTATTAGTGATAAAGGCCCACAATGTGGAGAATTTGCTTATTTTATAGACTTCATTTTATAGTAAAATGTCTTATATATTTGCCTAAAGACAGTGCTATATTTACAATGCAAGGGGTTTAAGCAGCATTTCCCAGCCAGGGGTCTGTGCAAACCAAGGGTTCCTTCAGATTATGCCACAGGTTCCCTAGTCAATAACCAGTTTGTGCCTCTCCAATAAGTAACCACTGACACCTGGGATCTTTCTTATGTCCTTCTCCAGTGACCACCAATATAAAGGAACATTTCACTGTCCATCATTCTAGGAAGGTCCTTCTCCATTGACCAACTATACACTTGTATAAGAAGGCCCTTCTCCAATGACCAACAAAATAAGGGAGCATTTCACTGACCACCAATCTAAGAAGGCTGCTCTCCACTGACCAACTATACACCTTTATAGGAAGGTCCTTCTCCAGTGACCACCAATATCAGGCAGCTTTTCACTGACCAGCAATCTAACAAGGCCCTTCACCATTGACCACCTACACACCTTTATAAGAAGGGCATTCGCCATTGACCACCAATATAG